AAGATGAACATTTAGTCGAGCAATAACGGAAGAACGAACATGATCATGACTAGGTGGAACAGAATTGAAGCGATAATCATTTCGGGCCAGCCAGACAAAATATTTGATGAGAGACAGCAGATAAAAGAAGACCGGGGGCACTATCTGTCTCTCATCATGATCATACCCAAAAAGAATGTGACGGGGCTGCAGACTGGGAGAAAGAGGAGTAACCCTGAGAAACATAGACTGAGCCCATAGCAGTAAGGATTGAATAAAATTGCAATGAAAAAAAAGATGAGTAAGATTTTCCGGGGCGTGGCTACAAAAACATAAAGGGTCAAGCTGACGACCAGCGTTGTTAACACGGTCCATGGTATAAAGGACACCATGAGCAATTTTCCACGCATGATCGCGAACTTTGCGATCAAGCGGGAAAGAAGAAGTCTGCTGCCAGGTGTCCTGCCAATATAGAAGTCCAAATTGAGGCCGAAAAGAAGCAATACGAGTAGGGAGCTGAGAAACTTTGTCAATTAGGAAAGTGTAGGTCATCTTGGTAGTTAATGCAAGGATGGGAAAAGGTTGTCCCGTATATGGCTTGGGAACAACGTAAACGTAACCAAGATGACCAGACGAGAGATATCCACCAATAAGACACCAAGATTTTAAAACTGATGAATAGAAAGGAGGGAGACAATCAGAAGGGTAAAAAGCAGGTGTAGCAAGAACTGTATTCCGATTGTCAATGAAAGCCCTCTGAATGAAGAAAGAAAAAAAGGCACACCACTTGTTTGGGGTAGACAAGAACCGTCGAACCCACATGATGTGCAGAGCGTTAACTTTATAGGATACAGAGACAAGATTAAATCCTCCTCTGGACTGAGGTTGCATAAGCGTTTTCTCGTAGATTGGCAGATATCTCTTAGAGTAAAAGAAAGAACTGATTTTTTTATTAATTTTGAGTAAAACCCAATTTGGCAAAGGAAGAACAGTGGCGGAATACCAGAGACCGGAAAGAGCAAGACCATTTAAGACAAGAGCCTTGCCCGAGTAGGACAAAGAACGTTGTCTCCAGGAATGTAAGATGTTTGAAAATGTTGCAAGACGATGATCCCAGTTTTCATGCGATAGGTCACCATGGCCAATAGCAATACCCAGACAAACAATGTAAGTGGAAGACCACTGAATAGTGAATTGAGAGTTAAGGCGACCTCTCCAGGATCCACACCAAAGACCTTTGCATTTCTCCATGTTAAGTTTAGCACCAGAGGCAGATTCATATTGCTGATAGATGGAAAAAGCTTCACGGATGTCATCATCAGTAGTACAAAAAACAGTAGTATCATCAGCATACTGTGAAATTAAACTGGGTTCAAAATTAGTTTGAGGAGGAGACAAGCCTTTGAGGATCTGTGAAGAGCGTAGTTTACAAGCTAGAGTCTCAGCAACAAGAACATAGAGAGCAGCAGAGAGAGGACAACCCTGACGGACACCACGAGAAAGAGAAAACCAGTTAGTAAAGAAGCCATTAACGATAACTGAAGATTCAGGGCCAGTATAAAATAGTCTTATCCATTGGCAGAAGGAAGGGCCAAAACCCATCTTACGCAAAACTGCCAACAGATAAGACCAATCGACACGATCAAAGGCTTTCTCTTGATCAAACGAGATCAGTGCCAGGGGAAGATTCATCATATCAGAATAGGCTACAACGTCAGACAGAAGTCTAACGTTTTCGCCAATAAAGCGGCCAGGAATTGAGCAGGTTTGATCTGGAGAGATGACAGAAGAAATGACTTTACGCAGACGGCAAGAAATAGAGCGGGAGGCTATTTTATAGTCGGTACACAAGAGAGATATGGGTCGCCAGTTCTTACGAAGATATCTGGGACCCTTTTTGTGRATAAGAGTAATCAAACCCCGACGCTGGGAAACAGAAAGGAGACCAGACTGATAGGAATAATTAAGTACAGAAACAAGGTCACTACCAAGAACCGGCCAAAGTCTGACGTAGAATTCTTTGGGCAGACCATCAATGTTAGGAGACTTGCCATTCTCCATCCCCATCAAAGCAGACAAGCACTCATCAACAGACAACGGGCCTTCACAAAGAGTCTGTTCCTCAGATGGAAGAACCCGTTCAAGAGAATCAAGGAAAGAATCTTGAAGAACATCATCAGTAGATTGAGAGGCAAAAAGGGAGAAATAAAACGAACGCCATGCAGATAATAAGTTTTCAGAATCAGTGACAAGGTGACCGTTATCATCCAAGATAGCATCAATAATTTGGGAAGCGCGATTTTGTTTTTCTAAGCGAAAAAAGAAAGCAGAAGAGGTTTCCCCTTCTTCAATCCACTGGGCTCTGGCTCTGATTTTGCTGGCTTTAGCTTCCTCATTGTCTAGCTGGACTAATCTGAGTTTTGAGGACTGAAGAGAGGGAATAGCAGAAATATCGCCGTTATCAACGCGGTTTTGAAGAGAAGAAAGATTTTGTTGAAGAGAATTACGATAAGCCCTAGTTTGTTTTCGGCGTTTAGAACAGTATCTAATAGAGATTTCCTTAATTCGAAGTTTTCCTACATCCCACCAGACGAGAGGCGACCTATAGTGCAGTTTTTGAAGGCGCCATTGTTTCCAGAAGTCAGAAATTAGGAGAAAGTAGTCATCTTCTTCAAGGACAGAGACATTTAATTTCCAATACGAGGGGCCACGAGAAGGAAGATCAGGGAGATTGCACTCTAAGAGAACCATGCTATGATCAGAGTGAGGACAAAATAGAAAATCACAAGACACAACTGAAGGAGCAAAACGGATAGGAACACCAACAATATCAATTCGAGAGGCAGAACTGTGATCAGGAGTACGATAGGTAAAAGAGTGCTGCGTGGGATGCAGGTACCTCCAGATATCTAGCAGGCGGGATTTTTCAAAAATAGATGTCAGAAGGTCTGAGCTATCGTAAGAAGGGTGCAGATAGGAACGCGATCGACGATCAAGATTAGCATCAAACACAGAGCTAAGGTCACCCAAGAGCAGATTGTCAGTAGACGGATCAATGATATGTTCGAGTTGATTAAAAAATGTGTCACGGTCAGGATTATGATTAGGCGCATATGCAGTAGTAATGGAAAACGGCTTGTCACAAACAGTAAGGTCAACCTTCAGAAGGCGCCCATTAGAAAAAGAGTGAGTGTTCTCGACATTACAAGAAAAGGAACGATTAATGAGGATTGCCACCCCAGCCGAACGAGAAGAAAAGAAGGAACCATAAGCGAGGAAAGGAGAGTACTTGAACCAGGAATCCAGTTCTAGTTGAGAAACACAATGAGTTTCCTGGAGGCAGATAATATCGAGGTTTAATGACAGAAGCCAGATGAAAAAAGAAGCCCTTTTAACTGGGTCGCGAAGACCTTTAACGTTTAAGGTGGCAATCCTCATAAGGAAAATAGACATACRMCTAAATATTCAATAAACGCATTTAACATAATTGCAACTATAAATTCAATAACTCACATTCAATTAACACATTTGACATAATTTCACATTCAATAGATTGATTTATAAACAGAACTTTCAATATAACTGCAATAATATTTTCCAATAATAAATAACGTGAAAAGAGGGTTTTTTAAATTAGGGTCTCGTTTTACTAGATTTAGGACGCGGGTGAGAGTCAGCAATTTGTCTCTTAAGAACAGTTGGTAGGATTTTTAATGAAGGAGGGATATGGGAATTGACAGGCACTTTTTGAACTATTTTACTGAAGGAAGGGGAAGACAGATCAGTCCCTACTGATATAGAAAAGGGTAAAGGAGAGCCTTGAGAAGGAGAAACACAAGATTGAGGCGAGGACACCGGCAGAGGAACGTTCGCAAGAGAATCTTGAGAGCCGGGATGAGGGAATAGAGAACTGGAATTTTCAGAGACAGTGACAATATTGACATTATTAAGGGAGTCCTGCGACAGAACATTGGGAAATAAGGGTTCAGAAGTAACATTATCACTATTATGGCTATTATCACAAGTGGAAATCGCGTTGATATCATCAGATAGTTCTTGGGAAAAAAGAGATGGCGAATCTTGATGATTATCCATATTTTCCTCAGTATCATCTTCCATATTATTCTCTTCATTAGGAACGTCTTCCATGATCTCGCTATACGTTTCAGAAATATTGCCAAAGAGCTCGCTTGGCGTAGGTTGGTGTTGAAAGAGGGTTCCGGGATGATCATCAAAAGGCTGATTATTAAGATTACGCGTTACTAAGAACTCAGGAGGAGCCAGAAAGGAGGTATGACAGTCAAAAGAAACATGGCTTGGATCCCCACAATTTGCACACGATCCACAAAGGGGACAGTTGCGATTAGAATGACCCCACCAGTTACAGTTAAAACAAGAAAGAGGTTGTCCGCGATAATGAACCCTAGCGGTGTAGGGGTCGAAAAAGACTCTAGCAGGAATATGACAGTTAAGGATCATTAAGAGACGTCTATCCCCAGTTTC